GCCTATGCTGGGGAGTGGGATGCCCGCTCCGCAGTCCAAGGGCTCGCCGGGCCTCGTCCGTGATCCGCTGCATTGTGCTCCTGTCCGGGACTAACCTCTCTTGCCGGCAGCACCCCGACGCAGACAGCCTGTATGTGGAGAAGGTTGATGTCGGGGAGGCCGAGCCGCGGACTGTGGTGAGTGGCCTGGTGCAGTTTGTGCCCAAGGAGGAGCTGCTGGACCGGCTAGTGGTGGTGCTGTGCAATCTGAAACCCCAGAAGATGAGAGGCGTCGAGTCCCAAGGCATGCTTCTGTGCGCTTCTACGTGAGTGAGAACTGGGGGCGGGGCCGGGGGGTAGATCGGCCCACGGGATGCCCTCCCTCAAGTCGGGTGGAAACCCTAAGGACACTGACCAAAAGGTGGTACGTGAAGGAATGAATTGTTGGGCAAGTACTGTGAAGGAAGCGCTTTACCTAAAGTTAGTTTTATCAAGACAGAAATTGAAGGCTCCGAGCAGTATGCACGTTCCCGAGTCTCTCTACCAGTAAGAGACGGAGCCAGGAGTCAAACCTAATTCTCACTGGCCGTTCGGGCCTTGCTGTCTCTGTTATGTCCTACTTCCTCCCCTGAAAGCCCAGAGTTTGGTATCTCTCCCGACAGAGGGCTTCAGGGTAGCCATAGTCAACCCAACCCTGGTAACATCCAGAAACAGTGCAGCACTGAGGGCCCCTCTGTAAAGGCCCTGATGCCTTGGCTTCCATGGCAGCTGCAGGCAGGCCACAGCCTCACTCTTTCCTCGTCCTGTGTGTCTTCTCAGAGAGGGGGTAGACCGCACGGTTGAGCCTCTGGACCCTCCTGCAGGCTCTGCTCCCGGTGAGCGAGTGTTCGTGAAGGGCTATGAGAAGGGCCAACCAGATGAAGAGCTCAAGCCCAAGAAGAAAGTCTTTGAGAAGTTGCAGGTAAGTAGCTGGCCATGCCCCGTCCCCTCTCTTGCCTGGGCAGCCTGGACTGGGTCCCCAGACTGCTGTGTTACTGGGTCCACCACTGCCCTCCCCCCCGCGACCCATCCACCCCCTCCCCCCCAGGCCTTCCTGCCTCTCTAAGCCCCTCCCTTCCTTAGTCCACTGCTTTCCAGAGGAGGTGCCTGCAGAACATGGGAGCCCTCGCACATACTGAGCGTGGACAGACTATTTGAGGCACTGTGTGAGGGACTCAGACATTTCCTCTTCTGATCTTCAGTCCGTGATCTGAGGATTGTCCATATTTTATCTGGCAGGACACCTGCCAAGGCCACACAGGGTCACCAGAAGCCATGGAGCCAGGACCCCCTCCCCTACCACCAACCCACTCTGGTCTTAGAGCACTCAGGGGCATGGACTCACATACAGCCCGTCCCCATGACCCCTGAATGCATTCCTCCCTTCAGCAAGTACTGAGCCCCTGATATGCATGTCAGCCACCATTCTAGGTGCTCGGGCTACATCATGAACAAAGCAGCAACCGAGCTAAACGGGACACATATGACCTTCCCTAGTTAATCCCGCATTTCCTCGCTCAGCCAGAGTGTGTCTGGGGGGCATAGAGTCCTCCTGCATGTGGTGGGCAGGTGGTTTTACCCACTCCCTTCCTTCCTCCTTTCCCAGGCTGCTTTTTTGAATCACTTATTTTTCCTGCTATAAAATAAATTTCCAATGTAGAAATGTCCAAAGGATAGGGAACACGAAGAAAAAATACCCGTAGTCCTGCCACCTAGAGTTCCTGGAAAATAGCATTAGTGATTCTTTGTGGACTTTTTCAATGCAAGGAGGTAATATATTTACAGTTTGAGTCCCACCATATGTTTATTTTTTTTATTTAACTTGATGCCAGAAAAACTTGCCCGTCTTTTTAAATACCGAGAGGGGGGATCTGACTGTATAGTGTTGAATCATAATTACTGTAATGTAACAAAATTATTTAGCCTTATTAAACATTAAAGTTGTTCTAGGTTTTCATTATTCGTACGCTCCAGTGGATGTCTTGGTACATAGTTCTTTGCACTTACTCGTGACTGTTTTCCTAAACTAAATGCCTCGGATGAGCTGGCTCACTGGCTCGCCGGGAGTGAAGGAGAGGCACATGAGACCTTGGGGAAGGGCTGTCCTCGAGCTGCTCTCACCGCCACATTCACGGCTTCTGTTTATTTTGTGCAGGCTGACTTTAAAACCTCTGAGGACTGCATCGCACAGTGGAAGCAAACCGACTTCATGACCAAGCTGGGGTGCATCTCCTGTAAATCGCTGAAAGGGGGGAACATCAGCTAGCTATCCCGGCATCCTGCTCCCTCCTCCCATCCCCCCCCCCAGTCATCTGCTGTCTCAGTTTGCTCCCTCCTTCACCCATTTACCCATCTCCCAGGACACCAAAGCAGGAAGTTGGGGACTTTGTTAGGAGTGGAACTCAGTAAGTGGCAGCTCAGCCTCCCCCAGAATCCAGAACCATCCTGTCCGGGCTGCTGGGTGGGCTGCTGGGCTACTAACAGAGCCGCTGCCCCCCCCACCCCCCCAGTAGTAACGAGGGCGAGGCGGCAGCAGGGAGCCCAGCTCTACCTTCTCTGCCTGGCAGCTGACTGGAGAAATCTGGTTTCAATATAACTCCTAGAAAAGGTTTATGCCACAGCCCTTCTAATTGGAAAAATATTGGTTCCCATGTTTTCCTAGAGTTCTCCCGGCAGCTGTGCCTGTCTGGGATCTGGTGCCTGAACTGAGCTAATTACAGCCTTTCCCCAACAGGAAATTGTGGGATTCAAAAAGGAAAGGGAGGGGGAAAACAGAGAACCTAGTGGTCTACCAAGTGGTGGGCAGCTTTCCCCAGTGCCTGCCAACCCTGAGGCCCAGCCCCGAGGCTCCTGCCATTTCTTTCCCTTGATCCTGCGGGGTTGGGATATTCCCTAAACCAGCTGTGTGTTAATATCAGAAGTAAGGCAGATGGCACAGCCTGAATCTTTCTTCAGAGAGGGTGGGATACTTCTCCATAAGGCATCTTGATCAGAATCACTGTCACTGTCACGAATTCAAATAAACTGTCTGAACAAGAGTGTCTGGATGGGGCCTGTCTGTGAGCCAGACCATCTCCGGAGGGAGGAACACAAGTGTGGAGCAGCTGCTGGGCCCCTCACCCAGGCCAGGCTGCTTGTATCTTGGACTTTTGACCCTGTAATGGGCCGGGGGCGGGGCGGGGCGGGGTGGGGCGGGGAGGGGAGGGGAGTGGGTTGAACTGGATGGATCACAGACACTTTGGCTTTTCCTTTGGCCATAAACGCAGAAGAGGCCCGGGGCGCCTGAGTGGCTCAGGGGGTTGAGTGCCAGACTTGATTTCGGCTCAGGTCATGATCTCAGGGTGAGATCAAGCCCTGTGTCGGGCTCCACCCTGGGTGCGGAGCCTGCTTAAGATTCTAGCAAAAACGGGCAGAAGACACCGACTTTGGGGTCCAGTGCTCACAGCAGGCAGAAAGAACATTTTCCCTCCTGATAGTGGGCCCAGTCCCAGACCCCTGTCCCTCTCCCATTAAAAAGCAGCAAACCACAGCCAAGTTTTAATCATTTAATTAACACCTTTGAATGAAACACACACAGAGCTTTTTCATGTGTCTCACTCAGGCTTCAGGGCAGAGGGAATGGATTGTTTGTATAGACATATCAAAGACTCAAAAATTTAAAGAAATATATATATACTTCTCTCTCTAACATTTTTATGGAAATTAAAAATCAGAGGCTTTTGGTCTCTCCATTTGCACTAGGTCAAGCTCATTTACCCCAGAGGACAAAGAAGGGCTGCCTCTTCTGGATCCTCCCTTCTCCTCTGTACTCTGTCCCACCCAGTGGGGAAACAAGCTCAGAAGATTCTAGCTGAGGATAAGGAGCTCAAGTAACATTGAGAGGGGAGGGCAAGAAACACAGAAGCTGGGCTCCCTCCCACCTCCAGCAGCTCTAGGGTTGCCACCAGAGCCTGGTCTCATGGAGGCTTTGGCCTGGTCTTGGTTCCCAGGGCGTTGGGTCAGGAGCTCTGAGCAGAGCAGTGCATACTGACTATCCTCTTTCCCCAGCTCACTGGGCAGGTGCAATAGGTACCCAGTAGCTGCTCGCCCTCACCCATGGGGCAAGGGAACAAGCTTGGTTGACAGCTACAGGGAGAAGACAGTAGTGACGGCGGGCCAGAGGAACCTGGGCTCTCGTACCACATCCCCTGTGTTCCCAGCTCTTGTTCTGGGAGGGGTTCAGTCTCTCCAGAGAAGCAGCTAAAAGTGAGGTTCCTTGCCAGGCTCAAGCCCAAGTCACTGTTGAGGAAAGAGGATCAGGACAGAAGGCGTGGCCCAGGTGGGAGCCACACGACTGGAGGGAAGCGCCGGGGCCAGTGGGGAAGCCAGCTTACCTAGAGAGGTGGCACAGGCTGAAAATAGGTCATTAGAATTCCTAGAGGAGAGATCAGTAACAGAGGCTGACGGCTAGGGGGCAATCACCGAGCCTACTCCCTAGGAGCACAGAACCCCCCTTCATTGACAAGGGAAGAGTCTGCAGAATGAACCTTTGGGTTCCCATCCTTGTCACTCAGCGCCAGCGCCCCCCCCAACCCCGTGAAACCACCTGTGCTGAAAGGCAGCTGCAGAAAGAACATGCACCGAGTAAAGAGAAAGGTCACAGAATGTAATCTGTAGGGCCAGGTTCGGACCCACTGCCCAAACAAGCGCCCCCGCCCCCCGCCAGACCCCTCCACCCACCTCCTCAGGACTTCCTGCCCCCCTGAAAGGGACACAGCTTTGCCACAGCCCATGGGCTCCTGCCTCGGAAGTGTAGTGCCTGCCCACTCCAACCTGACCAAGTGAGACAAGGGGCGGATGCTTGGCATCACCAAGTGCCCACTGAGATGTCTCCCTATTCCATTCTCCCACTCTCTGTAGACAGAGGGCCTGTGGAACTCCCCTCCGGTTCCTCTCCCCCACCCCCACCCCCACTTAGGCCCTGGTGGTCCCCCACTTGTCCCCGGCATGGAGCACCTGGCAGAACTAGAAGGCAAGGAGGGTGGTTGGTGCTAAGTTGAGGCACAGGAGAGCTAACCCTTGCTGCACCCTTTGTGCTTTGGAATCCCACAGCCCCACTCCTGCCTCCAGCCTGGAGAAGCCTGTGGGAATGCAGTGACTCGCCCACCTCCAAGAACTAAGAAATGGGCAAACCGGATCAGAGGGAGGGGACAGATTGGTCCCACCTATGGGCTGGCTAAATGGGGACTGATGCTGCCGCCATGTAAACAGGCCCTTGGAATGTGGCTTCGTGGGCCCTGGAGGATGGACATGCAGCTGCCTTTCAAAAGTGCATTGATTCCGGACCGTATGCGCATGATTTGGACATGTGGAGGGGGAAGCAAAGAAACTCAAATGAGATGCTCTGCTCCCAACTGTGCGGCCTCGAGGCCAGCAGGGGGCGCAGCCACCCGCTCCCACCAGCCTCCTCCTTCAACATGAGGCCAAGGCCAAGACAAGCGGCCCCAGGGAAATCCATTCAGGGGGAAGAGGCATGAGCTGGATGACTTGGAGGGCAGGATCACCACCAGGCTTGCATAAATATCGAAGGCTGTGAAGGTTAAGGCTGCAGGCGTCCTCTCTACTAGGTCTGCCGTATCCTCTCGTCCTTGGAGCTGCTCAGGTCCCTGAGATTGTGTTCCTGGGATGGGTCAGCAGTGCCAGCGAGGTGCCTGGTGGTCAGACCAGCTCTTTCTGTGGGTCTGTGGAGGGGGGCGGGGGGGGACACACTCAACAGGGGGCCTCCCAGCTTGGTTCTGGACGGCCCACGGCACAGCCTCTCCCCAACTGAATGGCCTTGCCTGCAGCACCAGCCAGGTGCTTTACACCCACGAATGCAGTACCACTGCCCTGCGCTTTACAGCGAGGAAATGGAGGCCAGGATGAGTAGAGAAAATGGCAAAGCTGAGGTGGAACTCAGTAGGTCTGACTTCAAAGGCTCCTTCGCTAGCTTATCAAGGGTGACAGCTCACCCTTCCCAGGCAGCCTGACACCAGAAAAATCTGAAAGATCCGGTAACAGATGCCCGGTAGTGGGACTTCAGGCACCTCTTCCCCACCACCAGTGATGGGGGGACCCCCCCGACACACACACACACACTGTCCACGGTACCTGAGCCACACACACACACACACACACACACACACACACACTGTCCACGGTACCTGAGCCAGGCGGGCCCAGCTTCTGCTCCTCGGGGCCCACCAGCTGCACGACGCTTCCGTTCTCCACCAGCTCCCCCTTAGTCCTGTCCTCAGCACGAAGGAGCCCGTCGGTGGGAGGAGCAGGAAGGGACTCGGCCCGAGGAAAGGTGGGGGAGGTGGATGGCGGGACCCCCACCGGGGGCTTGCGGGCCACGGGTGGGGGAGCTTTAGGTGGCTTCTTTGGGGCTGGGGATGGCCGCTGCTCCGAGATGTTCCGAAGTTCAGCCACCAGATTCCGCTGGAGGTCAGCCTGGGCCTCAGGGGACACCGGCCGCTCCAGCTGCAGCTTCTTGGTGCCCTTGGAGAAGATGAAGCTAGCCATAGAGGCAGGGGACTGGGGAGACCGTGGCTCCGCCTCAGGTGGTCCATTGGGCTGGGCACTCTCAGGGTCCTTGCTGGCAGCCAGACTGGAGGCCTTGAGTCGCACAGCAGCATGGAGCCCTGAGGAGGGGGCGGGCGCTGGGCTGGCCCGCCCTGACAGGGCCCTCCGTAGCGGCTTCTGGGGGGCGGATGGCCCGGGTGCCGGGGTTGCAGCTACCGCAGGAGCGCCCACAGAGCGCAGCCGCACCATCTGCAGGAGCGAGGGGGTGACCAGGGGTGCACCAGCATCCTCCCTGGGGGCCGCACTGCCTTTGCTGCAGCCCACTGGTTCCTTCCGAGGGACCTTGGCCAGAAGCCCGGGGACAGCAGCCGAAGGTGGGCCTGGTGGAGCTGGAGGCGGCTCTGGGGAACTGAGGAGCTGGCTCTGGGAAGAGACGGTAACCGGGAAGGACGAAGCAGCCAGGGATCTGACAGGCTCTGGGGCGGCTGGAGGGCCCGCAGGCTCAGCGCCAGCCACAGAGAAAAAGGCCTCCTCAGGTGGGGGAAAGTCAGCCATGGACAGGTCGTGCTCCTCAGGTGCAGGAGGCGGCGGTGGGGGCCAGCTGGGGTCTTGCAGGGGCTCCTCAGCAGTCTCTGGGGCAGACGGGGCCTCAACCACCTCTGGCTTCTTAGTGGGTGGGGGGGGAGGATGATAAGATGGGGGTGGGGACGGTGGGGGTGACTTGTCTTTGGAGGCAATGGGAGACTCCTGCGGTGGGATCAGGGATGTCTGCGGAGCTGGCAGGGGCTCAGGACTCACATCAGTGGTAGAGACGGGCCCGGGGACCACAGCAGGAGTAACCGGAGCAGGGGCCGCTTGGTTAGGACTCTTGGACTTGGAAGGGGGTGGGGAGAAGGGGGCAGGCACCTTGGGGTGAGGAGGTATGGCAAACCTGTCACCCACGGTGGTCGACATCTGTGTACCGGAACGGTCTGAGGGGGCTGGGTCAGAGGATGAGGAGCAGAGAGACGTGAGGGAAGAGGAGACAGAGGCCCCAGGAGACCGAAGGGAAGTGACACGCTCTGGTTTAAGGGGTTGGGCCTTGCCCGGGGAAGCAGGGGCCCCTGTGAGACCCTTGGGAGGGAGGGTAGGGGTACCACTTTGGCTCGAGTACCCACTGGAGGGTGAGAGCGTCCGTTCTGGGGAGCGTGGGGGACGCCGGGAGCCCCCTGGAGACAAGCCAGGCACCCAGGTGCCTGCTGAGCTGGAGGGACAGGGGGCTGCCCCCATCCCTTCTGACCCACCAGTGGTGGGCGGCCGGGGCAGCTGCGGCGGCTGCTTCCGCTCAGGCTTGGGCGGCAACCCCAAGGGCCCGTCAGGGGCTGCCGAGCCCCGCTGATGGAGTGAGTAGGTCCGGCGGGGAGGCGGGGGGGGCCGCTTCAGCTTCCGCAGGGACACGCTCCGGCCCGACAACTGCCCGCTGCTCCGAATGCTGACGGTGTCCGAGGCCTCGGCCGTGCTGCCCCCGCTGGGAGAGCCCCTCCCGCTGCCCCCCTGGGGAAGGGGTGCCACACTATGGCTAGCCACAGAGCTCTCGGGCCGACCCTCAGAGCCACCCTTGGAGGAGAGGGTGGAGCCATCAGACACGATCGTCTCTGAGGACTGAGAGTGGCTCCAGGTGTCACTGGAGGAGGAAGGCTGGCGGCTGCGGGGCCGCGGACTGGAGGCCGAGGAGAAGCGGCCCAGCGAGCGGACAGAGGCTGGGCTGGCTGAGAGCAGGCTGCAGCGGCTCAGGGTGCGTAGGCTGCAGCGGCCCAGGGCCACCACGTCCACGGTGGGAGGGAGCACAGCGTGCGGGATCAGTTTCGACAAGTAGGTGGCCTGGGGCGAGATGGACATGGCCGGGCTCAGGGGCTCTGGAGGCCCTGCTCCTCCTGTCAGGCCGGGCACCGCTAAGGACATGGGCCGGGTCACCGGTGGGGGCCGGGGCCCCGTGGACCGCCCAACAAGGGTGTCATCCCGGTAGATACGGTCAATGTGGCGCTGCAGCATGGCCTCCGCCTCGGCACCAGCCTCGGCCTGCGCCTCCAGCGCCTGCAGGGACACCCGGGCGCCGGTCCCCGAGGCCGGGCCCGCTGGGCGGCCGTCCACCGTGGGGATGCGCACCGCATCCCGAGGACCAGGGGGCCGAGGGGTACCTGGTGCCTCACGCTCGTGCCGCAGGCCTGCAAGGGACAGGGAGGACACGGGAGTCAGCAGTGGGGGCGGCCGGGGCTCCCCACGCAGCCCCACGCCACCCCACCACCCTCCTACTGTGCGGCTCACCGAGCTCCTTCTGCACGTGCTGCGGCAGTCCCAGCACCGTGCTCCGCCTCTCGCGGCGCCGCCGCCCTGACTTCCCAGATGATTTGGAAAATGAGTCATGGGGTCGGAAGGTAGAGCCTGGGGGCCAGTCCAGGGGAGAGAAACCATTAGAGCAGGTCTCGGGGCACATTTTGCAGAGCACTGCTTTCGTAGAATAACTAATAAGAGCTCTGCAAAAAGATTTCCATAATCAAGTAGGCGTGGGCAAAGCTAGGTTCAACAAAGCTAGACACTTCTTTTCGGTACGACTTCTGGAAGGCTTTACTAGGCCGAGGATAATTTCCATTTAGTGAACAATTATTATGTGTTAGTCAGCATGCTAAACACTTGGCATTCATTCTGATAATGTTAAGTACTCTTATCCTCATTTTTATAGAACATCAAACGGAAGACTGGAGTGGCTGAGGGTTGGCCCAAGGTCACACAGCTGGGGAGGAGCAACACCAGGCTCAAAAACAGGTTTCCTGACTCCTAACTGTCCTGCTTTGCAGTTGGGTGTGCATCAGGAGTCTCCAAGAAGACACAGGTGATACTGTGTTTCCTGAATTCACTGACTCACAGAGCTTCGGGAGGTGCTAGATTAGGGGGAAAAGGGGAAAGCTGCAGGGGCTGGGACCCCAGATAGTGCCCACCACCCCTCTGCCCCGTCCAAGAATCCGGGCTGGTGAGCAGACACCTTTGCGCTGGATCATCTCTGAGCGGATAGAGAGAGCATCCTCTGCTGTGGAGCTCTCAGCCGTGTAGGATGTGGTCTGGCTGCAGAAGGAGATGCTATCTTCATCCGGCCCCATTCGGGAAGACTGTTGGGGGAAGAAGGAGATGAGGCCCTGGCCTCAGGCCACCCCAGAAGCCTACGTGGGCCTCTTGCTGTTGCCTCTTCAGGGCTCCCCTGTGGAGCTTTGGACTCCGATTCTCCCTGGCTTCACCTAGCACTGAGCAGACCTCAGCTGGACTAGCCCTTAGGGGTCATCTAGTCTACTCCTTCGCGATACAAGAAGGAAACTGAGATCCAGAAGGGTTCAAAGACATACTTGCCAGAGATTAAGCAGGGAGGGAAAAGCAGAGTCAGGAGTGAGCTGGGGGCAGGGCTCACCTGGATGCTCTGGGTGTCTCCATGGTCCCAGCCACCCTTATTCAGTTTCTGTTTTTCTGGAAGACACCAGAAAGGTGTGTTGGGCTAGGCCCCTGACCTTGGAAGCCAAGAGTAGTCCCGGAGGGGAGAAAGTTACCTTGGTGCTGTAGGGAACGGAGCCCCTCCTGGGCCTGTGTGTGCAGCTCTTCCAGGTGAGGTGGCCGCCCGCTGGGGAAGAAGACATTGTCCTGGTGCTCATCCACTACAGACCCTGGACCCTGGCCAGGCCCTACACTTAGACGTTTGTCACTCTCAGCCTTGGCAGAGCCTAGTGGAATGGGGGAGGAAGAGAAGTGAGGCCTGAGAGCATCTGGGTCCTGGGGATGCACAGGCCCCACAACAATAGCACCCACAGTCCCAAGACTGCACACAGCCCCTGGACATACATGCAACGCCTACCTTCCCCAATCTGTACGCACAACTCACAGTCCTGTGTTATACACTCAATACACATAGCCCCATGTACATGTACAAACTCTACCCAAGCGTGCTTGTATCTGAGTACCACACCACACAAAGGACCCCATACAGGTCACCATACCCAGGGCACACAAGCCCACCACAGAGGCACACAACACCCACAGGCTTCAGTCTCTACACACACCCACAGGCTTCAGGATGTACACAAACAGCACCCAAGTATAAACACATCGGAAGCCAACATCAAACACAGGGGCCCCCAGAGAACATACCCAGCCCCCACAACATCCACAGTCCCCATTCTGTACATATACAAACAGTACCCAAATATACACGCAACTGTGTATCCACACGTCACTCAGGGCCCGACACAAAGCACCCCAATATACACACAGCCCATAGCGGATACATTTCTCTTGTCGCCACACCCCAAGCTCCACTTTAGGGAAAACCAACCACCCCTTTCACACACACCTTTGGCCCAGGCCCAGGAAGACACCGTGGGACACTAGGGAGGGCTGTGGGCTAGCAGGGGTCCTAACCAGAATTCCCATGAAGTCCTGGGAGGAGGGACAAACCAGGGACATGGCCTCTGTGTCCCCTACTCACCCATGTGGCTGTCCCTTAGTGGAAGGATGGGCCGGGGAGGGGAGAAGGCGGCCCCGGGGTCCCTCCACCCCCAGAGGCCCTCCACCCCCAGACGAGGCAGCCCCCACCTCTCTTGGGAGAACATTCCCAGGCATCCCCCTCTCCTGGAGGCCCCAGCCCCCCGTGCAGAGGAGCCAGGGATCCATTACAAAGGATCCTGTTACAGGCCCCGCCCATGGGGAAGCTGGTCATCTAATCCTGGGAATGAGGGGCTGTGTCAGCACTTTGCAGCCCCAGCCCCCCTTTAAATGGAACCCACAACATAAGCAAAAGCACTGGGAGGATCATGTGACCTTGGCAGCACCTTGTAGAGGGGCAGGAACAAAACAAGCCCTTTAAACGGCCACGCCCCACGATCAGGGGCTTCAGCTCAGACACCTGCCCATTCCTACCTCCTCAGCTCATTCTTCAACAGCCAGCTCCTGCCCAGGGAACCTGCAGGGACCCTACAGGGTCAGAGCTCCTAGGTCTCCTGACAATCCAACCCATGGAGTCTCGCCTAACCCCTGAATTTTACAAGTTGGGGAAACAGGATTGAAAAGGAAAGGCCTTGCCTAAGGTCATCCAGCAAATCAGAGTCAGTGCCAGGACTCAGTTCAAGATTCCCAGAGGGGGACTCCTGAATCACACTCAAAGTGAGGATCCCCTGCCCACCCCCCAAAAGTCCAATAAACTCTGGCCCCCATGTCTTAATCCAGGCCTGAAAGCCTAGTTCCTAGAAGCAGAAAGCAGGCAGAGACCCCTCCCTCCAAAACTTCTCCACCGTCCTGCCCTCCGCCTCTAAACAGCATTTCGATGATCGTGCCCCAAATTCCAGCGGGGCTACTTTCCTCTCCCCTCTGCTCCCCACATCCCATCCTCCCACACATGCTGACTGACCTGGGGGTCGGCGGGGGTGTTCTGCCTCTCAGACCTGAAGCATTAGGATGCACCCAGTACAGTGTGGGTACCTCCAGAGGAAGCAGTCTCACCCAAGGGCTGCAGGCTTCAAGGTCAGAGACACCTGGACCCATCCTCCCAAACCCAACCAAGCAGGGCCCAGACAAAAGCAGCGGAAAAGCCGCTGGACAAAGGCACAGCGGAGGACAGGGCCGTCTGGCCGCCTTACTGCTCCCCATCCCCCACCCACTACCCTTCCCCAGCCTTGATCCCCCTTTTTACAGAAGGCTCTGGCAAATGGAGGTGTCAGGGTCCCTCCTCGCCCCCTCCCCAGCCACACCCACTCACCCTTCTTCTTAAAGAGCCCGAGGAGCACCGGGAGGCGGCGGCCCAGGAACACCACCATGACTGCGGGTGCCACCAGGGCCGTCCCCTATTCCGGCCTCTCCGGAACGCCGGGCGCCGCCCTCACCATAAGCCGGCACCGAGTGGTGCGAGTCGCCCGCCCGGCTGCAGAGCCGACTCCAGGCGAGGAGGGGGAGGGGCTGCTCTCCAGGTCCTCCTCCCACCTGCACCACTGATCCCGCCCCTCAAGTGGAGTGCAGAGGCAGGAACAGTCCCAGATTCTGACGGGGAAACTGAGGCCCAGAGTCTGCGGATGCTTAGCTCTGGTGGAGAGTGGGACTAGCAGGGCTGAAGATGCTCAGGCCCCGGGGGGCAGACCACTAACCCGTCCCCAAGTCCTCTTCTAAACGGTCAGGAGCCAAAGCCATGGCAGGGGTCCCAGCTGCCAGATGGTGGGTAGAAGAGCCACTAGACCACACTTGGCATGATGCCCATCCCCAAGTCCTCCTGGCTGGTAAGGGTCATTCCCTGGGGAAGGAACTCAGGGAATGGAACATGGAACAACAGCCTGGCAGAAGCCCAGAACTGCCTGTGATGGCAAGGCCATCGGCAAAGGCCCCTGGAGGCGTGGGAGCCAGCCCAGGACACAGGACACCGGGAAGCCAGGGAGTTGTCCAGAGCAGAAACACAGTGGCTGCTGGGAACAACTCCTCGTGTGTATGTTCAGACCCATGCTTTTCAAAGGACTTTCTTCCCACTTCGGTCATGTGGGAAGCAGCTCAGAGAAGCACTGTGAACTCTCCAAGGTCACAGAGCAGAGGCAGGCTTCATCGTATACCTCCTGCTCCTCCAGCCCAGGACCCTTCCCAATGGCCCCACTCTGTGACTTGGTGACTAGTGGATCACCAGGCAGAGAGAACAGAATTAGCCAAAAAAAAAAAAAACCCGGTAGTAGGCAAGGGCAGTAAAAATGAGGGGTAGGAGGTAACTGGAGGGAAGACAGCTCCAAGTTCAAATTCAGCTCTGTCACACACAAGTCATGACTTCATATGGAAACAAGACCAGTGAACTCCCCCTTACAAGACTGTTGTACCCATTCATTCAACCAGCAAGTATTTATTACGCTAGTACGGGGGCTACAGCGAATGGAGGAGAACTTTATCTTGTTCACCCTAGCGCCTAAATCAGCGCCTGTCATACCGTGAGTTCAATAAACATTTGACAAATACATCAACGAGGTACACTAAGAATACAATTTTAGATTAGTGAGGACTGAGGGGCTATGATAGGGAAGGGGTGCCTCTAGGGGCACGAAGGAAAGTCTCTCTAAGGAAAGGCCATTGGAACCAAGACCCGCAGAAAGCAAAGGAGCGGGCCAGGGCAAGTGCTGGGCGCAGAGCCTTCTGGGCTGGGGCAGCAGCAAGTGTAAAGGCCTCAAGGCAGGAGTGGGGGCTGGAAATGAGGGGGTGGGGGGAGGTGTCTCAGAACAGACAACGGGAGGCCAGTGGGGCGGGAAATATGGTGAGCAAGGGAGAAAATGGCAGGAGCCAGGTCGGGTGAGGCCCCACAGGTCAGCAGGGAAGGTTCATCTAGGTAATGACAGTGTTAAGAGATCCCCTCGGGCAACTCCAGAAAGAGTAGCTGAGGCTGTGGAAGAGAAAGTCTGTGAAGCACTGCCCCCAAACTCACCTCAGGACACGGCTCTCTTGCAGCACCTTTCTCCCTGAGTCGCTAAGAATTCACAGTGGCTCCCACGCGGCAAACAAGGGGCTTCCCTCTGCTGCCCCTTCCCCATTTGCTGCCCCGCCTCTCAGAGACCACTCAAGCAGAGGCTGAGCCCTCACTCTCTGGAGCACAAACTTTTGTGCAGCTGGATAGGGCGTAAATCCACAAATCATTTAAATCTAAACAACAATCCTAAGAAGTAGGCACTTTTATCCCCATTTGACAGATGAGGAAGTGGAGGCCAGAAAGGGCAAGCTGGGAAGGGTAAGGTGGCATTTGCCCTCAGGACAACTTGAACCCAAAAGCTATGCTCTGTCTGCTGTGCGAGCTACAAACCTGATCTCCCCTCTGAGGAAGGGCTGAGGGACCCAATCATCCCCAGAAATTCGAGGTTTCTTGGCCACATCCTCCCCTTGTCCCTCTCTTAGGCCAGACCCATCCACCCCTTATTAGTCCCGCTCAGACGCGAAGAGCAGCAGCCCCACACTTGCAGGGAGATTAATGCCAGGGGCTGGGGGAAGGCAAACAGTCTCTGCCCTCAGGGATCTTAAAACAGCCCTTTGAGACAGGTTCTCGAACATACTCTCCTGTAACTGATCCTGGACCTATGAGGCTCGGAGAGCTAGGTGACTTCCCAAGCTCTAGCTGGCTCCAAAACTGAAGCCTCTAATCACGCAGGGCACAGTCATCCTCAGCTTCCCCCTAACCAGGGAAACTCGGGGCTGAGCTCCACAAAGGGCAGGGGGAACAGCAGCTCAAGGTCCCAGGCCCCCAGCTGGCTGTCAGGGCCACAGCTGCAAATTCCCAGAGGATCCAAGGCTCTCACACTTGATAACATCTGGTTGCTCTAGCAACACCCCTCCCCCCCCCCCAGCTTGGCCAGAGCCTGAGGTCTCTCGGAGCCACTCAAGGCTCAGGCCCACACACCTGTGACTTGCTTAGGGAGGGGCTCAGCAACCTGAGTCTCAGGTGGAGGGCAGGGTCCTCACAAAGAAACTGGGGCTGACAGAGTGGAAGACCTCGCCCAAGGCCACATTTAGAGTCCTTGTTCCTGGACCTTCTGCCCTGGTACAGTCCAGAGGTGCAGCCGGGGGCTGAAGCTCACCACCAGCCTCCGCCTCCCCTCCTCCCCCACCTGCCCGAGGAAGGAAGCTTCCTGGATCAGAGAAGACACCTTGCTCTTGGCCACACCCCTCACATGAAGGGCACACCAGGAAGCACACAGGCCAAGCTTGGGAGCTCAGATCTAGT